TCAGGAAACACAGCCTCTTGGAGTCTGGTGTGGCTTCTCGTCAGGTTTGTTGCTAGCTCTTTGACCAGAGGTAGGCCAAAGCACTTATATATGTGTTGCACAAACTCATAGTAAGTAATTATTATTAAGAGAAAGAGATCAACAAAATAAAGGTTACCTGGTGTCTCTTTTCAGAACCCCATGGCTGATATAATATTTTATTGACTTATCTTGTTTTTTAATCATTCACATACAGTTGTCTCTACTTTCCCCTTACCACTCTCTCCTGCACCATTCTCCTCCACCTCCCACCCTCAATCCTACCCACCTTTGGCTTTGTCCATGGATCCTTTATACACGTTCTTTGAAGACCCCTCTTTTCTTTCTCCCATAATCCTTCTCCCCCCTCCCCTTTGGTCACTTCACTTTGTTCTTTATCTCAATATCTCTGGTTATATTTTTGCTTGCTTGTTTGTTTTGCTGATTAGGGTCCATTTATAGGTGAGATCCTATGGTATTTGTCTTTCACCATCTGGCTTACTTCACTTAGCATAATACTCTCCAGTTCTATCTATGCTGTCACAAAGGGTAGGAGTTCCTTCTTTCTTTCTGTTGCATAGTACTCCATTATGTAAATGTACCATAGCTTTTTGATCCACTCATTTCCTGAGGGACACTTAGGTTGCTTCCAGCACTTAGCTATTATAAAGTGTTCTGGTATAAACATTGGGGTGCATATGTTCTTTTCAATTGGTATTTCAGAACTCTTAGGGTATAATCCCAGCACTGAAATTGCTGAGTCAAATGGAAGTTCCATTTTTAGTTTTTTGAGGAAATTCCATACAGTTTTTTACAGTGGTTGCACCAGTCTGCATTTCCCACCAACAGTACACTAGGGTTCCCTTTTCTCCACAACTTTGCCAGCACTAGTTTGTTGATTTGTTTAAGATGGAAATTCTGACTGGTGTGAAGTGGTATCTCATTGTGGTTTTAATTTGCATTTCTCTGATGGCTAGAGATAATTAGCATCCTTTCATAAGTCTTGACACTGTGTATGTCCTCCTTGGAAAAGTGTCTGTTCAGGTCCTTTGCCCATTTTTTAATTGGGTTGTTTGTCTCCCTGGAGTGGAGTTATGTGAGTTCTTAATATATTTTGGATAATTAATCTTAATTCTCTCACTAGCCAACTGATGATTTTCTCATCTCTTAGGGCACTTTAACTTTGAAAAACATAGCATAATTGAGTGATTTTGAAACACAATTTTCATCATAATGAGAGATATTCATTTTAATTATTTATAGAGCCTTTAAATTTTTAATGGAGAAGTGAGTACATGTTTTAAGAAGCTATAGATGATTAATGTTTTGTTCCAAAATGGGAGAGATAGATCAAAACATTTATAGGTTGAAAATTGGATATCAAAATAGAATAAGTGAACCAATGCCTGTTGTTCAATTACCTGTTGAAAGAACTTTTCTTATTTATTGTTTTCCCTTATCCCAACACAATGACAAAAAAAGAAAAAAGAAAAAGAAAAGCAGAGAAACCAAAAATCCTACATACTTGTTTCTGCCAGGCCATTCATATTTGACCTCACTAATAAGATTGAATACATCTTTTATATTTTAGTATATAGAAATACAATTAACATTTTATTTCCAGCAATATCTTTTGAAACCATGTTTCCTCTTCCTTATATGATGGCCCTAAAGGGGACTGTGATTTATTCCAATTCACATAACTAGGTATTGACCAAGGCAGTGCCTTTGAATTTCTTAGACATTTGTTTTGTGACATTACATTTCATCTCATAAGCATAGGCATTGTTCCTGTTATGCAACACATTAAAGCCTCAGAAGTGTCTATGTTATTTACAATTATAGCTCCTTTTAAAGAGAGAGAAAGAAGATGAAATGTGAACTGAAACTGAAAAAGCTCCTGCATCATTTTCCTAAGGGCCACAACAATTAAGATTCTGTAGTTCTGGTATCTCTGATTTCTTTGGCACACTCTACAAATATTTTGTTCTTTCTGAAACATGGTTTGAAAGCTACTTTCCCATAATAACTCTTAGATTGATGAAATGGTTCTCAATATAACAACCCCTTCCACTTCATTTTACTAATTTGGTTAGAAGTCTTAACGTAGTATGTATGGAAGCTGATTCTCTCCATGCTCTCCCTACAGCAAACTCTTATCCTTTCCTGCTAAATAACATGATTCCCTGACACCCATTCAACTTCTTCCTTAGGAACAGGTAGACACCATCACAGACCTGGCAACATATTTTGAAGAAACAGGTCATCCTGATGCTGGGAACATACGGGCAAGGCAGGAGTCCTTGGTGTCCAGATTTGAAGCTCTGAAGGAGCCACTGGCTACCCGAAAGAAGAAGCTCATTGATCTTCTTCACCTGCAGCAGATTTGCAGAGACACAGAGGATGAGGAAGCCTGGATCCAGGAGACTGAACCTTCAGCAGCTTCCACCTTCCTTGGTTAGTACGTACTGAGCAAGTTGAGCCCTAAGGAGAGCCCCAAGTTCTCCAAATTGTTTGAGAGACCTGAGATAGAATACCAGGGATGCAAAGTTTCCTCTTTTCAATCTTCCATGAGAATTTTCTTCAAAAAAGTATGTATTTAAAAGTTTACCTCCTAAAATCAGATGAACAGTACCATGAATTTCAGACCTTTGGGAAAAGCTAGAGTGTTCTGCTCTTGGCTACTTTCTCTAACTTATGTTATTACCAAGGTCCTTGTCTGAGAGAACATGGTTAGTGTTTGAGGTACTAAAAGTTTTTGTTTATATTGTTGGAGGATCTCTTTTATAACTATATGAGATATTATAAATGTAAAGGGGGTGATGTAATAAATAAAGTACATATTTTCCTTTTCTTTGGAAGCTATCAGTTTACCATTGTCAGTGCCAGGACATTTGTATTGAAATAGAGAAAAAAAATTGCACATAAATATAATGCAAACTTAATATGCATATATTGAGAACATATATGAGGGTTCAGACAATGGTGACAAGGGAGGGCTTAGTATGGTAAAACTTCCTAGAAGATAAAAAATCTCTTTGAATGATGGATGGGTATAGAAAATTTCTGGAGAGGCATTTAGTGTGAAGTATAGGGAAGACATTTTTGGAGGTAAGATAGGTAAAGCATAGATGGGGACATGTAGGATGTACTAGGATCTAAGAAGATGAAGAAAACTAACAATACACAGTATTTATTGTATACTTGTTAATGTTAAACAATGAGTGAGGCAACTTTTATAAGTTATTTCTAATCCTTACAAACAAAAATTCAAAATATTATGCTACTTTTATGGTAAAAATCCTCTAAATTTAGGGATTTAATAACTCCTTGACACCCATAGAAATTAGAAAAGGACTATCCTGATTTTTGTATCACAGTATTCTGAAAAAAATTGGTTGCATAATATTGAAAGTTTGAGCTGGAAAGTTACTTGCCTTTCTACCTGTCTTCCAAAGAGAATGGTAATTTATTTAATATCTTTTGTAAGATAATAAATATTCTTAGTACAAAGAGGCAAGGAAAATAACAAAACTGAGCAGAGTTAATTCAGATGAATGGTATACATTTCAGGAAGCCCACTCAATGATTAGAATCTTAAAGAAAAGAACTTGTAGGTCTGAGGGTTAAAAGGAGTAGAGTAGCCTCTTCCTGTTCTACAAAGTAGAATACCAGGCATTAAAATTATTTTTTTATCTGTAGGCAAGGACTTGATTGCCTCAAAAAACCTTCTGAATAGACACCAAGTCATCCAGGCTGACATTGCCAGCCATGAGCCACGCATTCAAGTGATAACTGAGAGGGGAAACAGAATGGTAAAGGAAGGTTTGTATGACTCAGATTGAGTTTAACAATCACCCTTATTCCACACTTATGGGAAAAAGTTTACTTAATTTTAGGGTTTTTGGAGAACTTAAAGATATCTGATCTACCTTACCATCCAATGTAGAAATCCTCCATGAGCATTTCTGACAGATATAATGTTTGTAGATTCCAGTAACAAGAAACTCCCTACCTCATGAGCCAGTCATTGCTATTTTTATGCAAAGCTAAAATAATTAAAACAAAATATATTACCCTAATAATCAATATGATTTTCTGTAGAAGTTATAAAATTCAGAATTTAAATTACAAAACCACATAAAACAAATCAAGCCCTTTTCCCATATGGGAAGTTCCAAATCTGTGAAGCCATGTCTGAGGCTCCCAATATTTTATAATCTTTATGGTAAATATCACTGATTATGTACTTTTTTGTGCTTTAGTACTATGAATATCTTTCCTCATATGGTTCTCTCATCTTCAGAAACCTCTACTGGTTAAATGTTGTTCAGAATCACATATCATATACCAGATATGGTATAACCAATGCAGATTACATTGGGATTTCCCTTCTATTGATTCAAAAATAAATTGATGCCAGCCAGTATCCAGCTATCAAAAGTATAATTTAAAATTCAGATTGCTGACCAAAATTTCAGATCTCAGTTGAGTGATTCAAGCCTAAAAATATTTATTTGATATCCCTATTTTATTATAGTGACTCATCATCTCTTTTTTTGAAATTTCCAGCTGTAATTATAGATTTATCTTTTTCTCTTTTCAGGTCTTTTTATTTTTATTTTATATTTTTAATAGTTCACTTTTATTGTATTTTCCATTACCATTTATCCCCCCATACCCTCTTCCACTTTCACCTACATCTTCCCCCTGCAATCACCATACTGTTGTCTATGCTTCTTTTCAGTTCTTTTAGTTTCATGTATTTTAAATCCCTATTATTGCTTATATACTTAGGCTCATCTTATTGATAAATTTAAATCTTCAACATTATGATATAGTTCTGGTGATATCCTAAAGTCTAGTTAGTACGACATTAACAAAGCCACTCTATCTTTGATTCATGTTTGCTTGATATGTATTTCTCCATCTTTCTGATTTCACTATGTTTCTTTACATTTAAAGCAGATTTCTTATCATGCTTGCTTCAGCAGCTCATACACTAAAATTGGAACAATACAGCAAAATTAATATTATCCCTGTACAAGGATGACACACAAATAAAGCAGGTATATTATAGACAGCATAAACTGTGACTTTGCTTTTATTTTGTGCAATCTGGTAATCTTTCCCTTTTAATTGTAGCATTTAGACCACATGCATTTAAAGTGACTATCAATGTGGGTAAATTTAAACCTAACATTTTGGGTATTTGTTGTTGTTCATCAGTTTCTGCTCTTTTTGGATTAACTGTGTATTTATTATAATTTTATTTATTTTTATTGCTTTTTTGAAAATTCAGTCTTTAGCCCTGGCTGATGCGGCTCACTGGATTGAATGCTGGCCTGTGAACCGAAAGGTTGCCAGTTGGATTCTCAGTCAGGACACATGCCTGGATTGAGGGCCAGTTTCCCAGTTGGGGCTGTGCCAGAGGCAACCAATCAATCAATGTTTCTCTCACACATCAATGTTTCTCTCCCTCTTTCTCCCTTCCTTTTCCTCTCTCTAAAAATAAATAAATAAAATATTTCAAAAATAAATTTAATCATTAATCTTTTTTTACACTTACATTTTACATTTACATTACTAAAATGTCCCCTTATGAACCTCTCCTTCCAGCAATCACCACACTGTTGTCCATGTCCATGAGCCCTCGTTCCTTTTTGCTCAGCCCCTCTAATCCCTAAACTCTATGCCCACTAGCTATCATCCTGCTTTCCATCTATGAGTCTGTCCCCATTTTTCCTGTTAGTCCAGTTTGTTCATTAGATTCCACATGAGTGAAATCATATGGTATTTGTCTTTCTCTAACTGGCTTATTTTACTTAGCATAATGTTTTCCAAGTCTATCCACACTGTCACAAAGGGTAAAATTTTCTTCTTTTTTAACAGCCAAGTAGTATTCCATTGTGTAAATGCCCCATAGTTGTTGTATCCACTCATCTGTTGACGGGCACTTGGGCTGCTTCCATATCTTGGTGATTGTAAATAACACTACAATAAACATAGGGGTACTTATGTTCTTTTGAACCGGTGTTTTGTGTTCCCTCAGTTAAATTCCCAGAAGTAGCATCTCTGGGTCAAAAAGCAGATCTGTTTTTAATTTTTTGAGGTATTTCAATACTGCTTTCCACAATGGCTGCACCTGCCAACAGTGGAAATTTATTCCACTAACAGTGCACAAGAGTTCCCCTTTCTCCATATCCTTGCTGACACTTGTTTGTTGATTTATTGATTATAGCTATTCTGACTGGTATGATATGCTATCTCATTGTTATTTTAATGTGCATTTCTCTGATAATTAGTAACATGAAGATCTTTTCATATGTCTGTTGGTCATCTGCATGTCCTATATTTGTTTATTAGCTACAGTCCTGTGGCGTGTGTGTGTGTGTGCACATGCATATGCATTTATTCTAAGGTAGTGACTTTCTAATTTTTATTTTGTGGTTTTCATAATGATGCAAAGACATTTGCCTTTTTTACATTCTCTCTTTCATAAGTGTACAGTAAAGTTTTCTAGGGTCTAAATGATGTGTGATAAGGCCATTGCTCTAAGCAGGGGTGTTCAAACTTTTGGCATCCCTGGACCACACTGCAAGAAGAGTTGTCTTGGGTCACACATTAAGTACACAAACAATAATGAAAACAAAAAAAGTCTCATAATGTTTTAAGTAAACTTATGATTTTGTGTTGGGCTGCATTCATAGACATTCCAGGCTGCATGCAGCCCATGGGCCATGGTGTATACATTTAAATATTTTCTATTTCTGATATGTTAACTATCTATAGATGTCACCATTTAAGAAAAGCTTAAAGTGGTCCCCAGTAATATTTAAAAATTATAAAGGAATCCTGGGAGTAAAATTTTAAGAGTGATCAGCTTAATATTCTTTGCACATCTTTGCATGTATTTGAAGCTCCATCTCTGTGTAGTACCTTCCTCTTTAGTACTCGATTCCACAAGCCCTACCTTTCTTGTCTTCCCCCAACTCTGATTTCTGTCTTCTCAACTCAATGTGACTGCTACTTCTGTTTTGATTAACCCTTCTAGCACTAAAGCCTAGAAACTGTCCCAGACATAAACTGTGGCAATGATAGGATACACCTCACTTCTTTCCCTTTTCTCAGGATTCATAATCCTCTGCCTATTTTCTGAAAATTACTGCATTTTACAGATTTCTGTCCTGTTTCCTAATTGTTTAAGTAGAGAACAGTTCATATAGTAATAAGTCCTTTATGGATAGGAATGGAAATCTGCTGAATGTTCTGATTAGTCTAGAGAATATGGGATTTTGAAACTCTGAGAAACACCCACGCATAGGTATTTTGTTTTCAGGTCTGTATAACAGAACATACCATCCAATGAACCACCACGCAGACACACACTACCATCCATGCATGCCTATCCCTCATTAACACTCGTCATTCTAATTTCCAGGAATTTAGGTAAAATGTCACACTGAGTATAAGCATCATCTTCATAACTCCATGTCTCTCCCCAAGATTATTAAAATAATTGAATTGTAGTGAATGTTAATCAGAGTAACATTTGCCTTTGTTATAACCACTCAATAGGACACTTTGCTGCAGAAGATGTGGCCTCTAGGGTCAAGAGTTTGAATGAGAATATGCAGTCTCTACAGACTCGAGCTGCTAGGCGGCAAAATGATCTTGAGACTAATGTCCAGTTCCAGCAGTACCTGGCTGATATGCATGAAGCAGAAGCATGGATTAGAGAGAAGGAACCTATTGCAGACAACACTAACTATGGAGCTGATGAAGAAGCGGCTGGGGTAAGGCAGAAATGAGGATGGACATTGTCTAGTATTCATCAAATTGTACCAGAATAATTCGTGGGACATTTACAAGTTCTGTTAGGTTATTTGGGGTTTCCACGGTGATATGATAGCCTTTGGACTTCATTTGCTAGGATACCCTCACAGTTGGCAGAGATCCCAAAAGATACATTATATTTTCCTAATCCCACAGAAATCCATTAATTCCCTAGAGGGTATTTAAAGTCAGAAAGGCATGAGAGATTCATGCTTGTTTTGGTCCCATATTAAACTTCCCAGAATAACCTTGAGATGTTACAAAACCACCATAGTTTTAAGATAAAATGACCTTAAATACTTTTTTTTAAAAGTAAAATCAGACAGACATGTTGGAACAAGCAGAATATCAAAGGTCATATTATACTATAAGCCATTTATTTATTTTGCTCATTTTCTTGTGGGAAGATGATACAGTATTTCATAAACTTTCAGTGCCAGAAATAATTAAAATGAGCATCTAAAACTATGCCAATGTTTAATTTAACAAAGTACCATGATTAATAGCATCTTCTTTTAGCTAGGATGTGTGTTGATAAAATGCCTGTGCACTTTTGACTTCGTGTAGATTGAAGCACATATATAGAAATTATTATTTTTACACAGAAATACAGTTTATTGTAAAATATTTATGACATAAACATTTCCATTTCAACCATTTTTTATTGTTGTTCTATTACACTTGTCTCAATTTTTCCCCATTGCTCTTCCTTGCCCTCTGACAGTCAATTCCCCACCCTGTTATCCATGTCTATGGGTCATCCATACTTGTTCTTTAACTTCCACTTCTTTCCTCCATTAACCCCTTGCCCCCCTCCCATCTTGCTCCTGTCAGTCTGTTCCTTGTTCCTTTGCCTCTGGTTCTATTTTGACTGTTTGTTTGTTTAGTTCATTAGGTTACAGATATAAGTGAGATCACATGATATTTGCATTTCACCACCTGGTTTATTTCACTTAGCATAATACTCTACAGTTCCATCCATGCTGCCATGAAGAATAATAGTTCCTTATTTCATTCTGAAGTATAGCATTCTACTGTATAAATGAACCAAAGGTTTTTGATTCACTTGTTTACTTATGGGAATTTAGGCTTTTTCCTGTACTTGGACATTGTAAATAACACTGTTATAAACATAGGGGTGCATAGGTTCTTTTGAATTGGTATTTCAGGATTCTAAGGGTATAATCCCAGCAGTGGAATCACTGGATCAAAATGCAGTTCCATTTTTACTTTTCTGAAGAAATTCCATACTGTTTTCCACAGTGGCTGCACCAATCTGCATTCCCCCCAACAGTACACTAGGGTTCCCTTTTCTCCACAACCTTGACAACACTTGTTTGTTGATTTGTTAATGATGGCCATACTGATGAATGTGAGATGGTATCTCATTGTGGTTTTAGTTTGCATCTCTCTGATGGTTAGTGATGTTGAATATCCTTTCATATGTCTATGTGCCCTCTGTATGTCCTCCTTGGAAAATTGTCTATTCAGGTCCTTCACCCATTTTTAATTGAATTGTTTATCTTGCTGGCATTGAGTGATATGATTTCTTTATTTTGGAGATCAAACCCTTGTCTGAGGTGTTGTTGGCAAATATGTTTTCTTATATGATTGGTTCCCTTTTTGTTTTGATAATATTTTCTTTAGCCATGCAGAAGCCTTTTAATTTGATGCAGTCTCATTTGTTTATTCTTTCTTTTATTTTCCTTCCCTAAAGGATGTATCAGTGAAAATATTGCTGCATGAGATATCTGAAATTTTACTGCCTATATTTTCCTCTAGGACTTTTATGGTGTTGTGGCTTGTGTTAAAGTCTTTGATCCATTTTGAGTTTATTCTGGTGTATGGTGTAAGTTGGTGGTCTAGTTTCATTTTTTTGGTATGTACTATTCGAGGTCTCCCAGAACCATTTTTTGAAGAGCGATTTTTACTCCATTGTATGCCTCTGCTCCCTTTGTCAAATATGAATTGACTGGAGATTTGGGTTAATGTCTGGGCTATCTATTCTGTTCTATTGATCTGGGTGTCTGCTCTTATACCAGTACCAGACTGTGTTGATTACAGAAGCCTTGTAGTATAGTTTGATAGCAGGTATTGTGATCCTTCCTACTTTGTTCTTCTTTATCACAATTGCTGAGACTATTCAGGGTCTCTTATTGTTCCATATTAATTTATGAAATATTTGTTCTAAATCTGTGAATTATGTCATTGATATTTCTATGTATTTATTTATTTTTAAATGCAGATT